ACCATTTGTAGGAGCGGGCAAGAGAAAGAAGGGTGAACGGCAATTAAAGTCATGCGAACATCAGGCGAGTTGAAAACAGTGGAAATACCAAATTTTCTGTTCGTGAGCAAAATCCATTTTTCTTCTCAACTTCTCTCTGGAGGCTTAAATAAGTTTTACCCTCTCCAATTCCACTTCGACTCTCTTTACTGCTCCCTACTTACTTATAAAATTCATTCTCAAAAGCTCCATTTCAAGATTAGTTCTGGGTCATACATTACTCCCAGGACTCGCAGTCGTGGATGAAACTAGAAATTTGGGAAAAAAACTGCTCGGAATTCCATGGTGCAGCGGAGTCTCATTGTCAGATGCGTTGATGAATCTGCTGCAAGTTTTTGTAACCCTAGCCATGTCTTCATAAAGCCCGACCTCACAGCACCCCCGCAGAAGTCGAGAGCCCATTTTGGTTCCTGTGTGAGCAAGTATCAACTGGCGTGTGTGATTAGTAGGTGGCATTCTCCTACACGACCCCCTCAGTCAACTGTTCATTTGTACAGAATAAGCTATTTGGCACGATTTTGGCTTGAGACAGTAGCAAAGTTCGTATAAGTTGAGCTTAGGCTCAAGAATTTTCTGAGGGATACTGCCTTAATCTGGTGCAAGTTAAAATCACCTTATATATCGGCCCGTTTATGTTTATTTTATTGTGCCATCGGAACCCCTTCCTATCCTGATACTATATGTGTAGCCGTTATTCCCATCTTCCACACGTGGGAGAATTCACTTCCATAGTCGTCAATCTAAAATTGTTATGTTCACTATGGCTGTAAAAAGGCTATAAGGAGGCTATAAAAAGTCAAATTGAAGCACATCTGAGGCGAAGAAGCGCTTGCGGTTCTCGAAGTATTAACTTTGGAGCATTTAGATTTCTTCACCCAGTCGCTGGAATAATGTGTGGGGTATTTTCAAGCACTGAATTTGCTCCTAGCTTTTGCTCTATGCAGAACAGAAATCTTATTAGAGGTATCTGGACATGAACTCTAAAAATGGCAGCTTTCGAAGGCGATCACTTATTGAATGATTGCTTGTTTGATCATAAGATCATTCACATGTTGTACACTACGGATGCTGGGTCTTTAGGAGGGACTGGATTTAGCGCGGTGCTAGCCTGGCTTCCAATTGTTGCCGGTTACCCTCTTCAGCAAATGGTGGAGAACGGGCTGGTTCCGTCGAACTTACCACCCCGCTCCCCTCCCACGCCCCAGCATCAGCTGAACAAGGCTAAACATAGACCACAGCAAGGGGAAATTAAGAACTGTAAAAGCGTTTCTTCAAACCGGGTTCAATACCTCCGCAGCCAGTCGATGGAAGTTCTAAAGCTGTGGTGGGCAAGCCGGAGATCGCTACTCTACTAATACTTTCATAATATTCAGTTACCGTTTGCTTATAGTTAGCCGGACGAAGGCTAGATCTGCTCGCTCTTCTCCACTCGTATACTTACATCTCAGAAAATCCACTGAACCAGGACATCGGTCCAAATGAACGAGACGTGTCCTGAGCCGAAGCATCCACAGACTTTTACGCGGTGGCGCCGCAGCACTGGAGCGACGGCAGCCGTCCGCAGCATGAACAGTGCATTGTAGGAGGACCCACTACCATCAGATACATATCTTCACCGCTAGTTCGCTTGCCTCACGAAAGGAGACACGGTCTTGGAAGAAAAACGTCGGTCGGGACGCCCCCACGAAGTGAAGACTCCACCGTTCTCGAAGCTGTCAAGGAGGATCCGGAGGCTACCACCCGCAGTCTTGCGACAAGACTCGGATGTACCTAACTGACAGTCGGCAACCGCCTGTAAGCCCTCGGCTATCGAAGCCCCTGCCTCGATGCATCCCTCGAGTGACACGATGCACCCGGATACTCATTTGTCAGTCGCCCCTTCTCCACCCTGGCCAAAAGGAGTTTCTGGGAGACTGGTCAGTGGAGATGAGAGAAGGGTTCTCTATGATTCCACTCACACAGTACCGTGTGACTCTCTCAAGCAGAAGACCCATATTAGCAGTCCAGACCGGGCATGCACTCCAAGACGGTTACCCTCTGCTGCTGGGACGCGAGGGGAATGCTGCACAACGAGCTGCCCTGTAAGAGCACACGGTCACCGCTACCATTTGTGCTGCTCAGCTCCAGAAACCCGTGGAAACTGTTGGAGAAAAATGACCGAGACTAGCTTTGGGACACCTCATTCAGTTGATGCGAGGCCCCATACTGCTGCGGACACCGACCAAATAAATGAGGAGCAAGGCTGGGAGATAATACCGCGCTCACCATAATCTCCTGACATAGGCCCTTGCGACTGCTACCTGTTCCACTCCCTTAAGGCTTTCTTTTCTAAGAAAACTGCGCCAAGCTTTAGTGATTGCCAACGATCATCGAGGGGTCGCCGAACATGATGGGCTCGCCAGCCTCCCTCACTCTGAGAAGGAGAGGCGCTGACCACAGATTGAATAGTATGCGAGTATTGCCCAGCCCCCGGAGCTTGGGATCAAGGGGCATCTTCGGTGACGATCTTGTTCTCGCGGGGCGACACTGTGAAAAAATAATTTCCGAACAACGTAAGAATAAATTATCATAATCTATCGTGAGAATGATGTATCACAGCATGTTCACTGTCGAATGCCGCTGTTGAGTGGCTGGTGGTCTAGAGCTGGTCGTGACGAGATTTTTAGTGAAAACTGATATGGTGGATTATTCGGGGCAGTTCGGGTGCGTGACAAGACAGTCGTAATATGCCGGGGAAGGGTGAGCGACGCCTCGGGTACAGATGAGTATCGTACCTGGCCATCTGAACACGAGTGTCAAAGGGATGGGAAAGTTTAACATCGCCCATCGCGGAATCTTGTCTTTGCTTGAATTCATGTGAGTTTCGCAGCTCCAATCGATAATTATTTAAAGTTTGCCACTCACGACTGAACGAACTTAGCATTTTTTGTCCGTTTTCCGGGCGTGTCAAGGAGGGCGGAATGAGCCCGCCTCCTCCCATCTTCTTCTACCAATGGTGACCAGTCAGTGATCGATTCAAGAAGAAAACAACCAGGTGGCGGGAACGCCGCGGTGGGTTTTACTCCATGCCTATTGCCACCGTCTCCGACTTCCAACCACAGAAACTGTACCATTGTTCCTCGGAATCAGTCGGAGAAGGAACAGAGAACTTTCTCGTTGATCGCTCCCTTCTCGAGGACGACATATTACCTCCGTTCAGGACCATAGGGCTTAAAGTGATACGATTTGCGTGCAAACAATGTATGCGTCCCGAGTGAAGAAAGTCAGTGTTCTTGTCCTCCCAGTCAAATCTGGCAGGCAGCAGTTTGAAGGCCCGGATTGATAGGAGGTCGGGTAGTCTCGTACGGAAGCCGGCCGGGATTTGACGCTGGACCATGGGCGCAGTAACTGACGTCACTTGCCGATGCGCAGCCCCCTTCCCTCCCCTCCCCCAGACCCACACGACCAGCGGAAAATGATTTCACTATTCGAGCAGTTCTGCTAAAAAGTTTGCCTTTTTGTGCCAGGTCGCTGTATCAAATGATCAATAAAGGAATTCCAGTAGCTGCGGAAACCCGCTCAGCATCTCGATGTGAAATCCGCCATAAGCCGCATCAAATCGCTCTTCATCATCAGTCCCAACTTCGTCAAATGAAACAAAGTGTGCTGACAAGAAAACAGCTTTTATTACAACTTTTCAACATAACAACATGGCAGGCAAGTCTAGATGTATTACGCAGATAGTGAGAGTACAGTGAGAAATTGAAATATTTTGACAATCACATAACAATTGAAAATCTCAAAGAAATCTCGCCATGCTAATAGCCGAATGATCTCAAAATGGTACAGCAACAATAAGAAACAAACTTAGAATTAAAACTGAAAATAAATCGAAATTAAATCATGATAAGTCTAAAATAATGACTAGATTATAATAACTTAGCCATGAAAGAAAACCTGATCGTGGTACTGTCAAAAATCACAATTACTGACTTCCAAGCAGGTTCTGCTTCGCACGTTCCACCTAGATACAGCCACTCCACCAGAGTTTTCATAGGAAAATTTGAATGACATAAAAACATGAGCATACCTCCTCGGAATAATCTGGATCTTCTTTTAAAACATCACGAATTTGCATAAGCACTTCACCCATAACATTGGCACCTCGCCATTTCGATGGATCAGCAATATTTGGATCATCTTAAGCATCATATTAAACCCATTGAAACATCAGCTGTTAGCAAGTCTGTTCACCAATGAAGGGCTAAAGTGATTCAAATTATAAAAGATCAGACCATGCTTTAGATCCCATAGCCACAAAAATGCCTAGATCGAAATAGATGGGTGGCACAACTGATGCCTAGTCGTTTGAAAGTACAGTCTTATTCGCTGCGGACGAAAGGGGGTGTCAGGCGGGATTGGGGTGTACCCACCAGTGGCTGAAGCGAGCAAGCGACAAGAAAGACTGTACCATATCGTTCGTATCAGTCGTTTTTCACCAGTTATCGTTGCTTACCCGCTCAACCAACCAAGTTGTTATTGCCGTCGCCCGGCCAAAAATCTGTACCCCCCCCCCCGCCAATGAACGCCACCCATCTTCGTAGTGCAACAAAACTGCTATGGTATTATAGGAAGCCTGATAATGGTGACAGGCGCTCAGAATTTCTATTGCTATTACAGCATTTTTCATTTATTCTATATTCGATTCTCTTCGGTGTGGGAGTGAAATCAAAAGTCGAGGCTTCGCGTGCACTAGCAGAGTATCTCCTAGCTAGTTAACTTGACAGACCATAAACACAAAAGAGGTTGCCGACTAAAAGATGGCAATGAAGAGAGAATCGAAGGTGTGACCGGCAAATAGTTAGAATAATCACGTCGATGAAGAAGTATATCAGAAATGGAGCTTGAAGCCTATCGAAACACTGAATGCAAATTCAAAACCGAAAATGAAATGGCTGAAAATTATATGCATTAAAAACGAAACAAGGGCTCGTAAAAAGCTGAAAACGAACCTATAGAAAGACCTACTCCCCAGTATGTGTCGTCAGCATCAGCCTCCACTAAAGTCGATCCAATCGTCCGGAAAAGTTGATATCGCATTCGTCGGTTTTGTTTGAACTAAAAAAGTTTTCAAGTAGCTGAGTTCTGCGTCAACACTTGCTGGATCACTAGACGCTAATGAACCACTTCTCTACAACCAGCACTTTTCCACATTCTCTCACTTTGCATGGCCTTCCACCGAAAAACCCGTCTAAAAACAGCTAAGGAGAATGTGAGGCAATAAAATGAGATGACGTTACTAACTAAAGGATCAGAGCACAGTAGAAATTCGTTAACAAAACGGGCACAAACTTTTCCTGTTTTGAAGTCTGGCTTCTTACGAGTTTTTTTTGCGACACCCAACACACTAGAACATTTTATTTGGATGAAAAATAACTAACCTTGGCCATAGCCGCCTTCATTCTTACTTTCCACGAGAACTTCATCCATTTATTCACATCGAGGTTGTTTTTCTAATTTATGCCTGGCTTCAATTACATGCGGCATCAAAAGGTGAAGAAGTAGAAAAATATTTTACAATCGCATAGTGTTCAAAAAGAACAACTCAATAGAATAGGGATGTCGGAGACATAGTAATCAGCACAAGGGGTGCGGAATTGAGTGTCGCTCATACTTCCCGCCAGCGCCTTTGAGGGCGTTAGGGCAGCAATTTTGGAGCGTTTCGCGAACAGTCGCCCTCAATAAACAGGCTAATTTGCCCGTTTGGACTCCAAGAATTTCGGCACCGAGCCCATTTTTACATTGCCTAAGTCACCAAATCCGCTAAAAATTTGTATATGGGAGTAGTTTAACATCCTGATTTTACGAATACGATATTCACTCTTGTCGCTGGCGCCAAGAGAGGACACTACGATTACCTCCTGGGCTCAGCCTTAGCAGAGCGCAGATAATCGTAGTGTCATCCATTAGCGCCAGCGGCAAGAGTGAATGTCATATTCTTAATCAGGATGTTAAAATACCCCTATGTACAAATTCCTAGCGGATTTACTGACTTTGGCAATTCAAAAATGAGCTCGGTGCCGAAATTCCTGGAATCCAACAGCCACTGTAGCCCTTCAAAAACACTGACCGCCAGTATGAACGCAGTCTTAATTAGATCTGGTACAATGTATATAGAGCTGCCAAACTCTGTTTCCTTAATCCCTTTCAAGTGAAAAGAAGCATTGGCTCAAAATGTTTTAAGATTGGAAGCATCTTCGAGCCATACAGCGAGAATCTGCAAATCAGTATCGATATTTCGTTAGAAGGAAACGCAACAAGGATAAGAAAAACTTCTATAGGGGGTCTAGGTTCTTCGCTAAACAAGTGGAAAAATAGCTGGCACTTATTGCTGAACTGTTTGCTTTCCCAGTCAGTATAGGCCGCGTTCATACCGTGCGACGTCCTTTGCGTAAGTTGCGTAAGTTGCGTAAGCTGCGTAAGTTGCGACTGAAGAACACATACGTATCGATCCAAAGAAAGCTGCGTAAGTTGCGTAAGTTCGTAAGCCTGCGTAAGTTGCGTAAGCTGCGTAAGTTGCGTAAGCTGCGTAATTTGCGTAAGCTGCGTAAGTTGCGTAACCGACGACAACTTCGAGAAGAATAGATACGTATCGATCGGTTAGCTGTCGTCGGTTACGCAACTTACGCAGCTTACGCAACTTACGCAGCTTTCGTTGGATCTCGTTATGTATTTGATCGATACGATGTAGTTATTCACGAACCAGCTCGCAGCATTACGCAACTTACGCAGCTTTTACGCAGCTTTTCGTTCGACGTGACGTCAACGTTCGCCACGGTTATGAACGCGGCTAAGTCGCTAAGCTTGCGTAGTTGCGTAAGCTGCGTAAGTTGCGTAAGCTGCGTAATTTGCGTAAGCCTGCGTAAGTTGCGTAACCGACGACAACTTCGAGAAGAATAGATACGTATCGATCGGTTAGCTGTCGTCGGTTACGCAACTTACGCAACTTACGCAGCTTACGCAACTTACGCAGCTTTCGTTGGATCGATACGTATGTATTATTCACGAACCAGTCGCAGCTTACGCAACTTACGCAGCTTACGCAGCTTTCGTCGACGTTGACGTCGACGTCGCACGGTATGAACGCGGCCTAAGAGCTCACGAAGAGAAACGAAGTCCGCATTCTGTCCCCTCACTTTCATGAAAATCATTGGAAAGGACAAATTTTTTTTCAGAGTGTGTATACGATAGAATGCATTCCAGCTATTTTACGATAAATATTGAGAATGAACTTACGTAGTTGGCTGTCCACTTGTTTGATCATTTTGGGATCCTTCAAATACAGGATTGCGTTTGCTGCATTAAAGTCCTTGCAAAACTCTAAGAGACGAACTTATTGGCTATGAGCAACGAAAAAGAGCAGCATACAACACTTACTGGCTTTAGTCCACATGTAAAATTGTTCCGCAGACGAAAACTTTTGTTCATGAATTAGTAACCGCCGACATTGCTGTTGATTGGAAAACGCATGTGTATCCAAAGAGTACGGTATGAAGCTTTCCTCAGAAATCGTCGATTTGATGACCGGAGGATCGATCAATCCCTAAAATGTTAACGGCTTTCTACCGTGGCATACCGAATGAAAATGTGAATACCCCGCACAAAGAAAATATTGATGAATGTACCCCGCCATCCAATTCGTCACCGGATTCATCATCGCTCACGGGCTGCATCTCGTCTTTGTTCTTTGAGTGGCCATTAGAGGGCTGCAAAGGGGCTCTTTACAACTGCGCCAGTACAAGAACTACCAATGTCAGCGCAGACACTACTTCAGCGGATTCGAACATGAAACTACACAAAGAAGCGCTGCACTTCCAAAAGGAATTTGAGGAGCTTCAACGGCCCGCACAAGAAAATGCGAAATAACTTCGAATATAAATTGAAAAATGAGCAGCTTGCCCGTTCAGCTGGATGTTGCTCATTCGTAGGCAGTGTTGCTGTTGGCAGAGATTGCGATCTGTCCGCTGTACTGGCCGAAGAAACCGATGGTTTTACCGGCTGCGAAGATTCCTAGGACATAAATGCTCAGATTGCGAAGCAATGACTTCTAATCGCTTTTTCCACATTCTCTCACTTTGCATGGCCTTCCACTGAAAGCACGTCTAAAAACAGCTAAGGAGAACGTGAGGCAATAAAATGAGATGACGTTACTAATCAAAAGGGATCAGAGCAAGTAAAATTCCTATAACAAACGGGACACAAACTTTCCTGTTTGAAGTCTGGCTTCTTACGAGTTTTTTTTGCGACACCAACACACTAGAACATTTTATTTGGATGAAAAATAACTAACCTTGGCCATAGCCGCCTTCATTCTTACTTTCCACGAGAACTTCATCCATTTATTCACATCGAGGTTTTCTAAATTATGCTGGCTCATTATAATGGAAATCAAAAGGTGAAGAAGTAGAAAAATATTTTACAATCGCATAGTGTTCAAAAAGAACAGCTCAATAGAATGGGGATGCCGGAGACATAGTAATCAGTCACAAGGGTTTGGAATTTGAGTGCGCTCATACTTCGCGCCAGCGCTTTGAGCGTAGGGTAGCATTTTGAGCTCTGGAGCGATTAGGAAAGCACAAATAGCAATCTGAGCGTGCGCCCAGAGTTTTGAGCGTTTCGCGGACAGTCGCTCAAAATACTGACGTAAGTATGAACGCAGTCTTAATTAGATCTGGTACAAATGTATATAGAGCTGCCAAACTCTATTTCCTTAATCCCTCTCAAGTGAAAAGAAGCATTGGCTCAGAACGCTAAGAGAGCAGGAGCAGCAGGAGCAGGGAGCATCTTCTAAGCATAAGCTAGAATCTGCAGATCAGTATCAGTATCAATATTTCGGTGGAAGGAAACTCAACAAGGATAAGAAAAACATTTATAAAAACAATGACATTTATAAAAACATAAAACATTTATAGGTATCTAGGTTCTTCGCAGTCATTGGAAGTCTCATCGTACACCTATCTTGGCCAAGCAATAACGATGGATAATGATCTTACAAAGAAATCAGCCGGCGTCGAAAGGCGGGATGGGCCACATTTAACAAATACCGAGATGTTCTCACCGATAGACGGATTGAAACTCAAATAAGATCTCAGGTGTTCAACACCCATGTTCTACCAGCACTGGTATATGGAAGTGAGACATGGAGCACAATCAAAGATGAGGAGAGAAGACTAGCTGCTACGCAAAGGGCAATGGAGCGAGCAATGTGTCGAGTAACACTAATGCACAAGATCCCTGCTCGCGAAATCCGAAGACGGACGGGCGTAAAGGATGTTATCGAAACCATTTATGACTCGAAAAAGAGATGGGCTGGACACGTAGCTCGTCTTGACGATAACCGATGGACATATCGCGTAACCAACTGGTATCCTCGTGGTGTAAAAAGGCCACAAGGGAAGACCCCCAGCCAGGTGGAGTGATCCTTTTAAGAAACTATATGGGCAGAGATGGCAACAAATCGTAACGAATGGCATAGATGTGTCCTGCAAGGATGGCGCAACCAACCTTGAAGAGCGGACATCAAGGTAAGGTTCTTCGCTAAACGAGTGGAAAAGTGCTGGCGCTCAGTGCTGAATGTTTGCTTCCAATCAGTATAAAAGCTCAGACTGCAGAAACAAAGTCCGGCTTTTGTCCTTTCACTTCTCATGTAATATAAGTTGAAAAGGACAAATTTGACGGAAGGTGCAGGTTGAGTATCAGGAAGTTATGAAAAAGAAAACTTTTCCAAGTGTGTAACGACAGAATGCGATTCCAAGCCACTTTTAACGATAAATACTGAGAATGAGCTTACGTAGTTGGCTGTCCACTTGTTTGATCATTTTGGGATCCTTCAAATACAGGATTGCGTTTGCTGCATTAAAGTCCTTGCAAAACTCTGTAAGACGAACTCGTTATTTATAGCGGAGCGCAAAAAGCCCGCTGGTTTATACCTCAGCGTACAACAACTTACTGGCTTTAGTCGGCGACATGCTAAAATTGTTCCGCAGTACGAAAACTTTTTGCTCAATAGAATGAGTCGTAACCGCGTACACTGCTGTCCTGATTGGAAAACGCATGTGTGTATCCAAAGAGTACGGTATGAAGCTTTCCTCAGAAATCGTCGATTTGATGACCGGAGGATCGATCAATCCTCTAAAATGTTAACGGCTTTCTACCTGTGGACTACAGAATTGAAAAATGTGAATACCCCGCACAAAGAAAATATTGATGAATGTACCCCGCCATCCAATTCGTCACCGGATTCATCATCGCTCACGGGCTGCATCTCGTCTTTGTTCTTTGAGTGGCCATTAGAGGGCTGCAAAGGGGCTCTTTACAACAGCGCCAGTACAAGAAAAAGCGACATGTCAGCGCAGACACTACTTGAGCGGATTCGAACATGAAACTAATACAAAAAAGCGCTGCACTTCCAAAATGAATTTGAGGAGCTTCAACGGCCCCGCACAAGAAATGCCTAATAACTTCGAATATAAATTGAAAAATGAGCAGCTTGCCCGTTCAGCTGGATGTTGCTCATTCGTAGGCAGTGTTGCTGTTGGCAGAGATTGCGATCTGTCTGCTGTACTGGCCGAAGAAACCGATGGTTTTACCGGCTGCGAAGATTCCTAAGACATAAATGCTCAGATTGCGAAGAAATGACTTCTAATCTGATGAATGATTTCGAAACTGACTGGTACGGTAGCTGGCTTATTCTCGACAATGGGGGAAGATTCCGTTGACTTTGTGGATTGAGCAATTTTCTATGAAAAACGGTTGAAACAAGTGAATATACATATCAGAAGCCTTAATACTACCAACCTGCTCCTGTTTCTGCAAAGCAACCCTCCTCTGAGGTATAATAACGGTCAATGTTTCAGACTTGTGCACATGTCGTTCTGACGGCGGGGACTTAAAAAATCGTGCACTTATTCAGTTGGGGTATATTCATGCCAACAACTTTATCACACTTGCTCAGAAAATTCAAAAATGATTACCTTCTCCAGATCATCTTTTGTAGGCACCTGTCTTTTCCTTGGAGCTGGATCAGGTACACGTGATTCCTTCAATAAATATACAACTGCTTTGGTCAACAGAGCTTCAGAATACTGGAGAATTAGAAAGTTCAAACCTGAAAACCCCTCCGAAACACTATGTCCTTTTTACGAAAAGTGCTAGAGGAGGGCGCCGCTCGATCATCATTCATCGTTATTGCCTTCCGAGGTGGAGGATCATCATTCATCGTTATTGGCTTTCGTGGTGGAGGCGCTGACGTTTCACTCTTACAGAAAACTATTTCCCTCCCCTGGAAGAATTGCTGTCCAAGAAATTGAGATACAGGATGACCAACTAACTTCTTGATAGCAATCGATGATAGAAGAAAGAGTGCTGTAACTCACCGCCTCTTTGGGTTTTGGTTGCTGAATATCTTGTCTACTTGTGGATGGCTGAGCCGCACTGCTTGCATCCTCCTAAAAAGCCACTAAATGAGTAATTGTCTGGGCAGCTGTGGAGGTCAAAAATTCGAAAGCTGTGAAGTTGCTCACGTTGTAAATGTGAAATTCTCAGTTGGAGATGATGGAAAGTTCGATGTGTTCAATGCAAATTAATAAAGATGTAGGGAAAATATCATTATTATAGGGAAAGTAAGCGAAGTAGTGAGTCCCATAGAAATATCTGGTATACTGGCTTAGAGCGTGTTCATACTTTGCGATGCGATTGCTTGTCGCGCGATCGAATAGCTCGAGCCTTCGGATCGCAAAGAATGGACGTGCTCTTACTGCAGCGTGAACGTGGAAGAAAACTAACCTCTTCACTGTGAGTATGACGGAATTGCTCGGAACGATCAAAGCAAAGACGTGACGATAAAGCCGAAAGGGGAGCATACAAACGGTTTCTAAAAAAACCTACTTAACGGCAGCATATCCTCAAAATCCGAAAATTTTTTCCCTTCACTGTCAGGGACACATTTCTTGACCCGATAGAAACCATGACAAGGGAAACAAAACCGAAAGAGCACTAAATCATAGCGAAGTCTTCGCTGCCCGAAAACAAACATAGCAAATTCGCGTTGAGTTCGTTATAGCGAATGCTTCCACGAAGGAGATAAACATTTGTGTTCGCATGAAGGACATAAATACCTGTGTTTATTCAGAATGGAAAATACAGAGCAGAAATTCTGCTACTAGTCCAGTAAACTGTTTCTCCATTCATAAATATTAACTTTCGTAGGCTTATGGATGCTAACCTAGTTTGACTGAGGAAAACGGGAGGGGGGGTGGGAGACCACTTGGCTGCACATCTGTGTGCTTTTCCCTAGCCAAGGCTCGGCTTAGGACACATACGATCAGAGTCGTCCAGGATAGCCTCATAGACACACGTACTTACCACTAGGCCTATCTTTTGGCTAAAAAAAGACACAGAGGCACTGATGAGTGCCCCCTCCCCCCTCCCCAAATACACTACGTTTGTAGTAGTCACGGTAATTTAATTTTCGAAACGATCCAGGCAAGTAAAAATCAAATGAAAATCAAATGGTCATCGGATACCTCTTATTCTCCGAGTGACTAGGGGAAGATGAAGACTCCGACCGTGCAAATTCCACGCTCCTTTCTGATGTACTAGGCTGAAAAATGGGCGATTAGTTATCAAGTAAACCAGCGGAGAAATATTTATGCACTAAAAGTGGGTAACCCTCTAACTGTATATTTGTAATATATTTGGATTCGTACGCGGATGCGCTTTCTGACCGCGTGAGACGTATGTCACTCCGTGGGAACGGTAAAGATGTCTAGTACAATTATCTGACCCTCCAGTTTGAATTGCTGAACTGGATTTTTGAATAACTGCCCTTCAACGGATGCTAGATGGCCTAACAAATTTCTAATGCATAGCTCGGTTTGAAACTTCCATGAAACAATACTTCAAAATTCTTTGGTACTATTAAAATGAAAAACTCATCCAGATTGAACAAACAAACGAGTAGCTACATATTTGGCCTGTGACAGAAAACCAGAGGTTTGGCGAGAAAAGAAATGTTGCGAGATTTCCAAACGGATGTAGGTGAATGAAAAATTCAGATAACGAAATACCTTCATTGAATGGTCAACGACAACTACGTCATTCTCCAGAAACATAGGACATCTCGACCCAAACTGAGGCCTGAAAGTGTTTAATGATTGAGTGAAATGGTTATAAGAGTGGAAATGTAAGGACATGCTATTGTTAGCCTTGAAGAAACTCTGACTTTGTTTGACCATCAGAAAAAAATGTGATGAGAGCAGAGAAAAACCCATTAGAATATATTATTCACCTACAACAAAAAAGTCTGATATATCTAATATTAAAAAAGTGTTTATCTTGAACAGAACATTACTTTTCAAGTGAAGAAACCTGATTAGCCATATTATTAGGAGACAGGCCTGGGTCTCAAACGTGTGCACACTTCTTGATGACACGTAAAAGCATATTTCCGCTTCACTCGGCAATTCAATAGGCATGCAGCCGGTTCTTGAGGAACCGGCTATATGCTTTTTGCCAAGGCTAAGGAGGCAGTTGCAATCACGCTGCTCTCCTCATCTTAGCCTTGCAGGGGTATATGATTCCTACCAATTGTTGACATTCCTTAAGGTGATTAAGATTTGGTAGCGTTCATAAATTGGTCCGTTTGCTGCCCGCGGAATTCTCGATTAACGTTAGACATATATCGATCCTTTGGATCGATCTCACAATCAATTCGCGGAATTCAATCGCTATTGGCAGGAGAACAATCGCACAATTCAGCGACTCAGCTGCGAAATGATAGGAAAGTGAAGAAGGTGATAGATATTGTTCGATGCCGGTAAGGCTTGCAAGGCATCTGTCAACGGGATACTATCTCGCTGCGAGGGTCCAGCAGTGTTTTCTCATCGCATCTTCTGGTTCAGCATTTGGAGGCAGGGAAATAAGGGTGAGGGATGACTGAAAGAAGGAAGAAAAATATAAGAGAGGAAGGAAAAAGGAAGGAGAGGGAAGACTTCGCATTTGACAGTATGTGAAGGAGGTGGGAAGAGGCAGGCTGTGCGATTAGGCAACACAAAACAGCAACGCC